GGTACAGACAAAGTGTGGAGAGTTCTGAGATTTCTGGCAGTCTCCTGAGATCAACACTTTGATTGCCCCAATGTCCTATCTGATTGGAAGATTGCAGTACTTTGATCTGGGCAATGATGACGTAATGGTTTGCTGAGCCACTTGCTGTGACACAACTTGTGTTCTGAGCCTGTGATAAGCATGTGATCCATACATCCTATAGAGAAAACAATGTGTGTAAGCCAATTCCAAAACTGCACACTCTTGCAGTTCTGTTTGCAAATGCTTGCAATGTGGAATAGTTGGGTGTTCTCAGAGTAGGCTTCTATGAGTCATGTGGGTGTTTGGAATTGATCGCCATGATTGTCTGCATGTGATGTACAGTTCTTAGCATGATGCCGATCGTTTCATCTCCTAGCACGTCTGCTTGTGACTGTCTGTAGTCACATGGTTGATTTAATGATCAGCAGGCTGAATGTAAGTTCTGTGTGTGTGTGAACATTGTCGCTTATTCTTCCTGCTTCCTTCCATCACTCTCGCCATGTCATTGCCACTCCCCAGCAAATCTGACAGTAAGTGTTGCACCCTTTTCCACTCTTTTTATACTGATTTTGTGATTTTCCTCGGAAATTGCATGCACAACAACGTAGTAGCCAGTGAGGGAATGGACGTGGATGACAAGCTAGTCAAACGTACGCTCGGTGAGTACCTCTGTGAAGCACATTGTCTCTGGCTCATATGCTGATGTGCTCCACAGGTTCTGACGCAGAAAACGAACCAGAGGACAAGGTTGCAAAGGAGGAAACCGACAGATCGACCACAGATCCTGAGTCTGAAGACAAAGAGAGCTCAGACGATGACGCTCACAATGACAACAATTCAGAGGGCGAGGAGGTTTTGTCTGTGCCAGTAGAGGGTCAATCTGGCAGTAAGTCTTCTATTTCCTGATTTCCAATCCGTCTACTGACACAGAACATCTTGTAGATTGTAAGGCAACAGCAGAGGAGCTTGCAAAAGCAAAGGAGGACGAAGCTGCTGCTAGGGCTAAAGTGAAGGCAGAGGCTGAGAAAGCAATGCAGGCCAAGGTTAAGGAAGAGGCTCGGGCCAAGGCAAAGAAGGAGAAGGAGAGGGGAAAGGAGAAGGAGAAGGCTACAGCCTTGGCACAGTCAGTGACAAAGCAGAAGGATAGGAAGGAAAAGGAGGGGTCCAAAGGTACGTGTGCAAGTATGGCTAACGAATCGTGTGCAATAACTAACCGTTTACACAGGTTCCAATGCTGTCACAAACGTGGAAAGGTCAAAGGTGGTAGTAGAAAAGGGGAACAAGCCAGGTACGAATTAAACGTATGGCTAACGAATTGTGCACTACTGATGTTGTCTTTGCCTAGTTCCTGAAGAAGTTGCAAAACTGGAAAAGAAAAAGCTAGTCACAGAGAAAGAGAAGGTCGACACAAGAAGGGATGGGAAGGAGAAACGAGTCATAGTCAGTAAGTACAAGTATGGCTAACAAATCGTGCCAAGCTAATACGACGTTTCTCCTAGTTCCTCAAGCAGTTACAAAGCCAGAAAAGAAGAAAGAGGACAAAAGCAAGGAAAAAGGTAATGTGGATGAGGGGTAGTTGATTTTCTGGGTATACTGACTCCATTTTGTTGTCTAGAGCCAGTACTGGTGCTCCTGAGCAAGAAGCACACCATTGTAGAGGTGGAGATTCTGGTCTCTGGCAAGGAAACGCGCGCGAAAAACCGGAAGGTCGTGGTGGAGTCTTCAAGCAAGGAGGACGAGGATATCCCTCTGGATTGGGCGGAGGGAATGGTCTTCCACACGCCCGAGTGCATGAAGTGTGCAGAGAGGCACAAGGGTCCTCAGGGATCCACTCGCCAGACCATGATGGATTGGCTGTGCCACAGTAATCTGAGTAAGTCCGTTTCAATCTTATTTTTGACTGTGTCAATGGTGATCATTTGTGTAGAAAACTAGTGCACAGTGTGCATATTCTGCCACTCTGGATGTAGCCTGAAGGGAATCCAGCATAAGACCAGGGGGCAAACTGTGGAATTGCACAGTACAACTCAGAACCTGCATTCTGTCATCCCTCCAATCATGCGTAGTGAAGCCAGAACAGTCTGCAACCTCTACTCACAGATGACCAAGGAGCTGAACGACCTGGAGTTGCAGCTGATGACGATGAAGAATGAGTTTGATGCAAAGATCATGGCTCTAAGGCAGGGTATCAACTTCTTAGCCATGGCAGCAGAAGCCTCTGTAGATAGTGGGGTGGAAGAGTTAGAGTAGGAAATAGAACAGGGTAGAAAGTAGAGAAATAAAAGTCCAGTTTTGTTTTTATGAAAAAAACCGGAAACGTAAGGAATAAACAGAATGGAACAGAAATGGATGGAATGGATAGGAAAATAGATAAAATAGAGAGTTAAGAGGAATGGAATGGATGGATGGATATTTTTATGATTTATGTATAGAACTAGTGGAATAGGATGGGAATAGGTGGAAAAGAATCATAATTTGTATAAAGGTTTATATGCTTATAGAATGTTGTATGGGCTTTTTGCAATTTATTGTAAATGAGAAGGAATGTAACAGAAGATTGAAAGTATGTGAATATAAAATGTAACAAAGCATAGGGAACTGTAGTAGAACACAGTATTTAC